CTATCGGGCCCCTCTTCACAGAGTATCCTTCAGGCGGTCCGGTTGGCGTCACGTCAGCCAGGAGAACCTGCGCAACTTCAGTGCACCCACAGGTTGAGACCTCTGTCCTTGCTCAGTGGTTCTCAATGGTGGCTGCTCGTTAGACTCTGGAAGCATCTGAGCTTCCTATGAGCAGGATCCCCAGAACAGCTAAATCAGACTCTTTGGGGGTGAGATCCGTGTCATAGACTGAATTGTGTCTCGCTCAAACTCACATGTTGGAAGCCTTAACCCCCAATTTGACTATTTGGAAGTAGAGCCTGAAAGAGGTAATTAAGGTTAAACGAGGTCATCCAGGTGGGGCCCTAATTCAATAGGGCTGCGTCCTTATGAGGAACAGAGGAGACGCCAGGGATTCCAGTGCACAGAGAAAAGACGTGTGGGGGCACAGGGAGGAGAGAGAGGTCTGAGAAAACAAAGCTGCCAACACCTTCATCTGGGTTCTCGCACTTCCAGCTTCCAGAACTCAGAGAAGAAAAATGTCTGATGTTTAAGCCAGCCAGTCTGTGGTGTTTTGTTATGGCGGCCTGAGCTGACTAATACAAGCCGGCATCAGCACTTCTCCTTTTTCAAAATAACTGGCTACTCCAGGTCTTCCGCATTTCCAAATACAATTTAGAAGCACTGTTGTTTCCTACGGAAAGCCTGCTGGGGGTTCCGGGTTATGATGAATCTGTGGATCGATTTTGGAAGAATAAACACCTTAACAATGTTGATTATGCCAAGTTGCAAACATGCTGTGTCGCTCCATTTATTTCGATCATTTTTAATTTTTCTCATCAGTGTTTTATAGTTTTCACTCTAGTTTTTCATATCTTTCATTAAATGTATTCCTAAGTATTCTATGTATTTTGATACTACTGGAAATGCTGTTTTTTAAACTTCATTTTCCAAGTGTTTTTTGCTGGCATACAGAAATATAATTTTTTTGTATATTGACCTTGTATACTGCCACCTTGATAAATGTTTTTATTAATTCTAGTAGCAGTTTTTATTCGCTAGAATCTTCTGTGGAGTTAATTGTGTCTGCAAATAGAGACGATTTTACTTTTTTTCTTGATTGAACACATGGGCTGGGACCTCCAGCACAAGACTTGCTCACCTTATTCCCAGTTTTAGGGGGAGAGAATTTGGTCTTTCACCATTAAATGTGATGCTACCCATAGGTTTTCCGTAGATGCCTTTTTCCACTTAAGGAAGCTCCCTCCATATTCCTAGTTTGCTGAGAGTTTTTTTAATCATTAATAGCTGTTGAATTTTGCCAAGTTTTTTTCAGTGATAGTAGGATTTTTCTTTTATTGTGTTAACGTGGTAAATCACAGTGATTTTCAAATGTTGAACTCCGATAAACCCTATTTGTTCAAGATGTATATATTTACATATTGTGGGATTATATTTGGCAATATTCCATTGAAGGTTGTTGCATTTTGAAGATTTGTGTTCGTGAGGAAAATCAGTCTGCAGATTTCTTTGTCGGAATGTCTTTGTCAGGCTGCGGCATCAGGGTTTTGCTGCCTCATAAAGTGAATTGCAGTGTTCTCTTCTCTGAAAGTTTGTGTAATGTTGGTATTATTTCTTTGTTAAATGTTTGATAATTTGGATTTTTCTCTGTGGAAAAGTTTTTTATAATGAATATATTTAATAAGTGTAGGACCATTCCAATTTTCCATTTCTGTTTGAGTCAGTTATGGGAATTTGTGTCTTTCAAGGAATTTTTCCAGTTCGTCTAAATTGTTGAATTTGTTGTAGTAAAGTTGTTTAAATATTTCCTTATTATCCTTTTAATATCTAAGGGACGTACAGATATTTCTTCATTCCTGCTATTGATTATTTGTATTTTCTCTCTTTTTTCTTCACTAGCACTGCCAGTTTATTAATTTTACAAATCTTTTCAAGGAACTAACTTTTGGCTTTTTAAATTCTATTGTTTATTGCTTTTCTTTTTCTAGTTTCTTAGATCATTGGTTTTCAACTTATGTCTTTTCTAGTATATGCATATAAAATTATAAATTTTCCTCTAAAGAGTGCTTTACCTGCATCTTACTATTTTTGATGTGTTGTGTTTTCCTTTTCATTCAGTTCAAAATATTTTCTAAATTCCCTTATGAATCTTCGATCATGGATTTTTTTTTTTAAAGATTTTTTTTTTTCCTTTTTCTCCCCAAAGCCCCCCCCTGGTTCATAGTTGTATATTCTTCGTTGTGGGTCCTTCTAGTTGTGGCATGTGGGACGCCGCCTCAGCTTGGTTTGATGAGCAGTGCCATGTCCGCGCCCAGGATTCGAACCAATGAAACACTGGGCCGCCTTGCAGCGAAGTGAGCAAACTTAACCACTTGGCCACGGGGCCAGACCCTTGATCATGGATTATTTAGCAATGTGTTTAGTTTCCAATATTTGAAGTTTTAATAAACATTTTATTGTGATCTAATATAATTCAGTTGTAACCTGAGAACATATTTTGTAAGATTTGCATCCTTTTAAACATACTGAGATTTGTTTTATGACCCAGCTCATGCATTTTCTTGGTGAGCATACCAAGCGGCTTGAGTCTGTGCGATCAGAGGGGGATTTGAAACACTGTCAAAGAGGATCTGGGGGCAAAGATGGGTGTGAGGGGTGTCCGAGGAGTTCAGGGCTGAGGAAGCATGCAGGGTGAGGCCGAGAGCTGTGCGAGAAGGCTGTGAGGTGGGCCCGCCCTGGGGAAGGGAGCTGTGGGGAAGGCGGAGGTTCTGGAGATACGTGAGCATGGTTTTGGTTGTTACAGTGATTGGGAGTCAGGTGAGGAGGGCTAGGATGTGGGATATTGCGCTGTGAGCTAGACCATCCCACAGAGTGAGGATTCTCCCAAACTCAGCCAACGCAAGGACGCTGCCCTCCAGTAATGCAGCACATCGCAGTTTCAATATTCTAGTAGCTACCTTAGAAAAGGAAAAAGAAACAACTAAAATTAAGGCTGGCAATATATTTTATTTAACCCAGTATAGCCAAAATGTTATTTCAACAATAATCAATACAAACATTACTAATGACATACATTACATTCTTTTTTTTTCATTCTAAGTCCAGTCTACAACATCCAGAGTAGCCACATTTCAAATGCTCAGCAGCCACATGTGGCTAGTGGCTTGTGGCTCCTGAATGGGACAGTAGAGGTTGAGACCCTAACTGCATTTTATGTTTAGACACCCAGTATCTTTTGAATTTTAATGTTCTTGAATTTTCCGGGAATGCTGTTACCTTGCAAATGGGGGTTTGAGGGTTGACTGTACTTTGGGAGCTTTTTTGGAACTTTACCAAGAGTTGTTCACCGTTTTGGAAAGTGATGTCGCCCAACAGCAGCCCTGTTCCTGGTGTCTGAGTCCCCAGCACAGCGCACCCCGAGTCACTATCCTTGCGGCCATCTCACTCATGCTGATTCTACCTGAGGGGACAGGCCCTGGGTACTCAATATTCTGTGCTGATGTCTTCTAGTGTGTGCCTAGGCATCAACTTATCAAAATACTCATTATTTTATAACACGTTACTTCTTGTTTGTACTATAGGTGAGCATTACTTTGATCTTTTAAAATTATGTGTGTAGGTAGCTTATATATGCATACATTCCTTATCAGGTTACTATAGGAGATATTTAAACATATTCAACTAATATTAAACTATTGCTAATCAGGAAAATATTGGTTATAAAATATAAAAACTACTAGTTATAGAGAGGCATATTCGGTCCCCGTAGCAGAGAAGGGGCCCTGATTTAGGTTTTAAATCTCTCCCTTTCTGGAAGCAGAATAGAAACCAAAACTGATCTCCATCATAGAGATGGAGTTTGAAAAGGGACAGATAATTTGCTTTATTCGCCTTTTTATATGAAAGCCACACCAAGAGCTCGCCAACTGTAGGAAACTCAGCGATGCCTTCGGACTATTTTACAAGTAAAACTCTGCCTGGAAAATATTTCCTACCACGGAATTGACTTGTTAAATGCCATTTTTTCTTATGAAACCAATTATTTACTTTAAAGTCTCAGGACCTCCTTTCATCCTCTCAATTTGGAACCCATTTCCTGGTCTTAATCTAACTGCACCCACCGCATCTTACGGTCCAGAGTGTACACAGTGAAATCACTCGGTCCCCTCTTATCCAGCAGCGTGCTCACAGGAAAGTACATTTTAGCTTTTACATTTTTCTCAATGGCAGGAAAAATAAAAGAACACCACTCGTTAGTATAGAAGTGGTAACTAGCAGGACAAATGAAATTTTACTTTTAGGATATTACAAACACAAATTCAGAAATCCTCAGGCCCTTTAACTCTGTTTTCCAGTGTGTCTGTCCCCAGTGATTTCATGGCTGTGAAGACATCTGCCTGACCAGGGGCCCTGCCCCAGCCGTGCCTGCCCTGCAGCCAGGGCGCCATACATCGTAGATGATGCAGTTGCTCTAGCGGTACCTGCCTCTGCACGTCACCTTTTGGGGGAGCAATAGTGGCCGCCATTTACCCAGCACTTTTCACAGGCTGGCTCTGTGCCCTGTTTGAATCCTTCAGGGTGGGAGTTACTGCCCATATTTTACAGACGAGGAATGATGTGATTTTCTCTTTCTATTTGTGACAGAGGCGGGCCTGGGGTTTACATGCAATCACTAACTAAATATGGGCTGAGCTAATTTGGGGTTTAGCCTCATCTGTTTTTCCAAACAATGGCCGATTCAACTGCTCTAACCACAGGCTGGTGACCTCATCAGTCCTCCTGCAGGCCCGTTCTCCTTACTCAGCCAACAGCTGTCGAGCACCTGCTCCGTGCCAGGCCCCAGGAAACAGACGCCTCGCAGGCTCTGCCACATGAGGGGGCCCAGGGCTGCAGTAGGAAACCCTTGCTCCCCCCAAATTACCTGAGGGTGAAGTTACAGAGCGCGGGCCTCAGTGAGTGGCACCCCAGCGCAGGTCCTCGACCGACGGCGCATGTGAGTGAATCACCATTTGCCAGGGGCCCAGGCTCCCTCCTCGGTGATTGGAGTAATTCATTGATTCGTGGCCTCTGGACTTCGAAAAGCCCCACCTCAGATACGTCCAACGTGCAGCAGGGCTGAGGACCTGGGTACCCGGGGGTGAGGTGCTGCAGATGTGGGCCACTGGGACGACTGAAGAATCACACGCGCATCAGGCCCGGGCGCCTCCTTGAGAAGTGCCCGGTTCCCTCCCTCCCAGCAGCCTGTCTGGGCAGGAGCGGTGGCTGCGAGTGCCAGCTCCAGCCCTCACCACCAGGTAACCTCGGGCAAGTCACACCGACCTTTCCACGCCTCAGTTTCCTCATCTGTAAGGTGGGGACGTAAGAGGACTCTCTTCCCAGGCTTGTGAGAGGAAGCGTTGAGACACACAACGCGCCTGGAACAGCTCCGTGTGAGTGTTAGCTGTTGCTACAGACAACACGTCAGACACCAGAGACTCCGGGCTCCCACCGTTAGAGACTTCGAAGCGAAACAAGAAACAAAAGGACAGCCTTCCCCACTCCTCCCCTCCGCTCCCCTGCCAGGCTTCACTGGACACAGATCTTCCCCACGGGCCCAGGGGTGCCCGACTCAGGGTGACGGCCAAGCCCTAAGGCCTTGAGGGCCGTGCTGAGTGCTCCCAAGGCCTCTGAGTCAGAGTCTTCTCCTCACAGGCCTCACTGTTTTTCCAGCTCCTCGTTTTTTAAGTACTCTCTGAGCCTTCACTCCGTTTCCTTTTGTTTCACGTTTTTATAAATCCCAGGAAGACCTGTGTACGTTGGCAAAGATTTAATGCTGTATGTAATGTGAAAATTAGCGCGCTTTCTTTACTTTAAAAGTATTTCTGTAGATTCTTATTTTTCTTAATCGGCGTCTCATGTGTCTTTGTATGTGTGTGTGTACGTATGTCCGTACACAGTCGTCCCTCAGTGTCCTGGGGGGATTGGTTTCAGGATACCCGTGGGTACCCAAAACCTGCGGGTGCTAAAATCTCTCACATAAAATGCTATAGTGGGGCTGGCCCGGTGGTGCAGTGGTTAAGTTCGAGCACTCTGCTTCGGCGGCCCGGGGTTCACCAGTTCGGATCCGGGGAGTGGACCTATGCACCGCTTGTCAGGCCATGCTGTGGCAGGCGTCCCACATATAAAGTAGAGGAAGATGGGCACGGATGCGAGCTCAGGGCCAGTCTTCCTCAGCAAAAAGAGGAGGATTGGTGGCAAATGTTAGCTCAGGGCTAATCTTCCTCAACAAAAATAAAAATTAAAAAAATCAAAACTAAAATGCTGTAGTATTTGTGTATAGCCTATGTACATCCCCCATCTCCCTTAAATCATCTCTAGATTCCTTATAATACCCAATACAATGTAAACGGCACGTAAATTCTCATGATACTGGGTGTTTAGGGAATAACGACAGGAAAGAAAAGTCTGTACATGTTCAGTACAGACACAACCAATACAGGCCTTTTGATCCAAAGCTGGCTGAGTCCACGGATGTGGAACCCATGGACACTGAGGGCCAACTGCATGCGCCAATGTAGTCTACACCCCTCCACCCTGATTCCGTCCCAAAGGAATCCACACTTCTAAGAGTTCATTGTGGATACTTCCATCTCCCTTTCATATCTGATAATGTGCATCCTTTTCAGAATTCCACAAATGACCATTCTATACCTATTTTGTATATCCCGCTTTTCTCACTTTACACCATACATGATTTTTCCATATAAGGACATACAAATCTACCTTATGCTATTTAACAACTATCTAGCATTGTGTTGTATTTATATTGATGTAACAAAATTTAACTGTTTTAATTTTCTTCAAATTTGTAAAAATTTCAGTCAGTATTCCTCCAAATCTGCCTCCATCCAGCACTCTTTTCCAGGACTCCAGTGACATGTATGATGGACCGCTTGCCATCTTCCCACAGGTCATGAGGCTCTTTTCCTTCTCTCTCTCCCTTCCTCCCTCCTTCTCTTCCTTCTTCAGTCAGTCACTCATTCATTCAGTCTTTTTACCCCTCTCTGTTTCCAACTGGATAGTTCCCATTGCTCTCTTTTCAAGTTCACTGATGTTTTATTCTGTAGATCTCATCTGTTATTAAGCCAGTCCTGTGAATTTTTCATCTCTAGAAACCCATGATTCTTTTTTATATGTTCAATTTATTTTCCCATCATGTTCATGTTTTTACATAAATCCTTGAGCATAATTTTAAATCCATTATCTGCTAATTTGACCATCTCCACCATTTCTGGATCTGTTTCTTTTGACTGATTTTTCTCCTGTTTATGGATCACTTTCTTCTGCTTCTTGGAGTGTCTAGTAATTTTGATTGGATGCTAGATATTTTATATCATACTGGAGAGTGTTTGTTTTCCTAAGATTGGCACCTGAGCTAACATCTGTTGCCAATCTTCTTTTTTTTTCCTCCTCTTTCTCCCCAAAGCACCCCCCCCCGCCCCCCGACATAGTTGTGTATTCTAGTTGTGACATGTGGGATGCTGCCTCAGCATGGCCTGATGATTGGTGCCATGTCTGCGCCCGGGATCTGAACTGGAGAAACCCTGGGCCGCTGAAGCAGCGCGCAAACTTAAAGACTTGGCCACGGGGCCGGACCCTACTGTGTGTGGACTGTTTTAAAGAGTGTTGAGTTTGTTTGGGCTGGCAGTTAAACTGCTTCCAGATCACTTCACCCTTTCAAGACTTGTTTTTAAGCTTTGTTGGGATGGGTTTGGAGCAGCCCTACTACTTGTGCATGACCCTTCTGGAATGTTCTCTCTGGCTGGTTGGAACTCAAATGTCTCCCAGAACTGTGTCAGCTCTGGGAACTATGAGGCTTACAGATACCCAGTATTCCCTTGCCTTTGGAGTTTCACCCTACACAATTAAGTTTTTAGCAACAGATTCAAGGGGGCCCCTTTCAGGTTTCTGGAGCTCTTTGTATATTTCTTCTCTCCAGTATTCTGATTCCCAAATTCCAGCCACACTCTGATCTCTGACTCAACTCAGCAGTGACGTGCTCTGCTCGGTTCCCCCTCACATCCCATGGCCCGTGTGCACTGCCTGGCACTCCTAGGGCTCACCCTGTTTCCCTTTTTCCAGGGACCTCAGTCCTGCACTGACTGTGCCAATGTCTATACACAGGTGTTTTACATATTTTGTCTAGTTTTCTAGTTGTTTATGATAAGAAGGCACATCTGGTACCAGTTACTCCTTCATGGGTAGAAGTAGAAGTTCCTAAACACTATTTTTAAAATTTGTATCTTTCATTGTCTGTAATTATAAACCCCATGAGGGCATCAATGTTGATCTGTAAACAAAGATCTGGGTTATGTGTAGACTTAGAAAGTGTGTAAAACACTTTAATTTCTTTATGTCTATTACACTTTTGCAAAAGGGGGATAATAAATCATGGAAGCTATCTCAAAAACTAGAAGCTTAATGGAGAACAAAGAAAGCAAGAGAAAAGATATGATTTTATTTATAATTTAGGCAAAAATAACAAGCATATAATCCATGAATGAACACTATTTATTATTTTTTATTTTTGTAAGAAAGCTTGGCCCTGAGCTAACATCTGTTGCCAATCTTCCTCTTTTTGCTTGAGGAAGATTGTCCTTGAGCTGATATCTGTGCCAGTCTCCCTCTACTTTGTATGTGGGACGCAGCCTCAGCATGGCTTGATGCGCTGTGAGTAGGTCCACGCCCAGGATCCGAACTGGCGAAACCCGGGGCCACTGAACTGGGGTGTGCAAACTTAACCACTTGGCCATGGGGCCGGCCCCCTATATGCTTTATTTTCTTTTGTCAGTTGTCTATTCATCTTGACCGGTTTTTCTTTTGGGGTGTTCATATTTTTCTTACTGATCTATAAGAGTATTCTTATATGTTAATGATATTAATACACTGCATGTCATTAAGTGATCGATATTTTTCCTAATTTCTCTTTTAACTTAAAGAAAATTTTTATGTACTGAAGGTTTTGACTTTTTTCCATCAATATTTTTCTTCATGATTTTTGTCCTTGGTGTCATATTTTAAAAGTTTCAGGCCGCCCCGATTTTCTGGCCCTCACTTTGGAGATAAGAAAGCCTGGTGATGCTGGGCTGGACCCCCACAGGGAGCTCTTGTTCTCTGCCTTACCCCACAGTTACTTCACCCCAGACCCCAAGTGGGCACGCAGGCCGAGAGTGACCCCTGAGAAGGAGGAGCAGTGACTCCTGAAACAGCCTGCCGGTGGGGGGGGGGGGGGGGGTGCGGGGGCAGGTGAGTCTCAGAGCAGGCCCCACCCCCAGGGGCCCCAGGGACTCGCACGCCCCTCTGAGGATGCCACAGGTCTTCCCGAAAAGTGCTCCAGGCCCACCCCCTGGTTTTACAGGAGAAACTGAGGCCTCGCAGCTTGAGGCAGAGTGGAACGAGAGTCTGACTCTGGGGACCTCACATGGAGGTGGAAGTCCTCTAGAAATCACTGACCCATCCCCTCCCTTGACAGATGGGGAAACCGAGAGCCCTCCTGATGGAGAACAAGAGGCATGTCACAGCAGCGCCCCCTCCTGAGATCGCCCCCACGGCACACGCGCACATTGGAAGAACCAGCCTCTGTCCCTGTCCCTCTGGCCGTTTAGGGAATTTAGTTCCTACTCTTATCTTCCTGGTGAATGCTCCAAAAATAAAAAACCTACAAACAAGCAAAAAATAGTACATATTCGCTGTCGGCCTGGTGCCGAGAACCCCAAGGATGTTTCCCTCCTTCATCGGGGGTCGTGAACAAGGTTGGTTTCAGCATTGGCCTACAAGTCAGAAGTAGCGCAAGGCCGCGACATCCGCTGCCGGCCGGGCGCGGAGCACTGGGAGGGCCGGGGGGCCTGTCCTTCACGTTCACCCCTCATCCTCGCCTCTCCCTCCCCCCCAGGAGACGCAGACTCCCCGAGGCCAGGAGCTGTGTCCCCACAGCCCCCGCACAGTGCTCCTTCCCCGGCACTGCCCAGTTAGCGTCTGTGCGTGAAGGTGCCCCCTGCAGCTGAAAACACTGCGGGTGTGCCAGTGAAGAGCTGCTGACGAAGGGCACCAGGACGTGAGGGAGCACGACCTTCAAACCTTAACAGGCCACTCCTGTCCAGCTAC